GCTGAAATATCTCTTCATGAAGCTTAGATAATTCTTCTGATATCTGATCTTCTCGAAAAGTTATAAATAGCAATCTATACTCTGCAATCTTTTCCAGATTATGAATTTTTATCTCTAATGCTGTTATCTGGCTTTTAAGATTAGATATCTCCTGCTCTGATATCTCTTTTATTTTATATAATCGAGATATCTCTAGCTCACTATGATATAAATCGCGTTTTAGAAATTGTATCTGACTCTCATATACTTCATTTTCAGACATCAGCGCTGTTCTATCGTCTTTTTTTTTATAGATAGTTCTATCTTTTTGAGAGATGAGAAAGGATGAGTAAAGAAGCAAGAGTTCCTATAATCCAAATAGATCCTGATAAGGCTCGTAATATAGAACAGAATCTTATTTTATGAGAGATATATTATTGACCTACTGGATATTTTTTTAACCCTAAATTCTTAAGAAATGCGTGTAAAAAAGAGGGGTATCGATTCAGACTTCAAGCTGTGGATGAGTGGTTGAATCAACAAGAATCATACCAGATTTATAAGTGCCTTTCTAAACATGTCCCCAGATTCAGCTATGGACGAATAACATGACCAAATTGTGTCTATCAATGCGATATATTATTTTTGACCCATGATCGTTACAGAAGTAGAACTTATAAAGCAGTACTTAATATAGTAGACTGTGCCTCAAGATTTAAAGCTTCAGTTCCGCTTAGGTCAAAGAGTGCCCATGAAGTTGTTAAAGTGTTTAGAAGAATATATATGAGTCGAAATAATCCATTGATATGGCCAAAGCTTTTATAATGTGATAATGGAAGAGAATGGATGGGAAAAACTTCTCGTCTAATGTAAGAGCATAATGTAATAATTCGAGTAATTGGCCCATATAGTCATTGTGGAACTGTAATTGTAGAGCGTTTCAATTAAACACTCTCAAAAATTCTATATAAGATCCAGTACGCTGTTGAGTCTATATCTTCTGATTCAAGACAAATAAGAGCATGGGTTAGGCATTTACTGAAAGCTATCGATTACCTGAATAACTACCTACACGTCTCATTAGAAAACCAGGTTCTCCAAAATGGGGATTAGCGCCTTCAGTGGCCATTTTATTAGAGAAGATCGAGTCTAGACCATTTATAAAATCCAAGCGTCCTGTCGGAGAGAATGAAGAAACCTTAAAGAAAGGTGATACTATTCGCTATCTTCTTGCTAATGCGGAATGGGAAGGGGTATGGAGAATCAGAAGCGCATAACTAATCCTATATGGTCGCCAAGTCTTCATAAAGTCCAAAAAATAGTAGTATCTAAAAATGAACCTGTGCTTTATTATCTCGAAGGTGATGAATTTATACCAAAGCAGGGGTTTATGCGAGAAGAACTCATGTTAATAGTTAATCCAGAAAAAGTTGGGTATTCACCTCAAAGTATATTATCTGTAAATTTCATCCATACTACTCCTATTAATAGTGAGTTAAACTAAGCTATTGGTTATGCTCAAAGACGTGGTGGTCAATGTCTAGGAAAGACTGGAGAAATAAATGGACATAATGTATACCTTTGGTCTTGTAAGAATGGTGCACATCAGTGGGAGTATCCATTAAAATACATCATGAAGAAATTCGAGTGGTGTCCTCTTTGCTGGCATACTACTGAAAGAAATGTACGATATATTTTCGAGGACCTGTTAGGAAAGAAATTCCCACCCTGTAGACCATCATTTTTGAATGGGATGCATTTGGATGGTTATAATGAGGAATTGCACCTTGCTTTTGAATTTCAGGGTCCTCAACACTATAGTCTAAATTCAATGTTTCATAGGAGAGGCCAGATAGATTTGGAGCAACAAAAAATCAGAGATCAAAAAAGTGAAATATATGCAAAGAACGAGGTATAAGTCTTATTGAAGTCCCGTTTGACTGTGATTTGCATCCCTACATTCGTATCATATTGATCGAAAAAGGTTATCTACCAAATACAGATATTAAATAATTACAGTTAAGGAATAAGACCCAGTTCTCGAAGGATATCTGGAATTTTCTCGAATGGGTCTTCATAATACCAAACATATCTTAATGCTATCCAATTTTCTTCACAGAGTTCATCCTTAAGTTGATCCCGAGTTTGCTGTTTCTCAAAATCTTCAAAATTTGGATGAAAGAATTTGATTTGACGTTCGTGTTGTATACTTGTACTTCAATCGCAAAGCCATAATCATAGTATGGGATATCGAGTTCTAATCCAGTTGGGTATTCTGGCGTTTTTAAGAAATCTGGTTTACGAATTGATGAAGGTGGACCAAGATATTTTGTTATGATTTTGCGACATAAATCCTCACGTTTCTTTGAACAAAAAGGACACCAGGTGTGTTGATTTTTAATAGCATTGAGAGTAGCCATAAATATATGGTTATTTTCACACTGCCACAGTAAAAGTGAGTGATTATTATAATAAATTGTAGATATACAATCTCCATTTCGATTAATTGCAATTTCTTTGGCTTTCTCGATAGTATGACGAGCCACTTTTGCGCATTTTGAGCACCAAGAGTTACTATTTTTGACATGATGCAAACTTGCAAGAAATTCATGTCCTTTGGAGCAACGCCACAATAAATGTGAATAACTATTAATATATTCTGTTGAAACACATTTTCCATTTCGACTAATTGCAATATAGGCACCACTGATTTAGATTTTTTATATTATTAAGGCGTGCATACCATTCATGATAATTTGAACAACGCCATAACAAAACAGTTTTGCTATTTATATATTCGGTTGAAAGACATTCTCCATTTCGAGCAAAAGCAATTTGTTTGACATCCTCAATAGTATAGCGAGCCACTTTTGCACAATGTGAACACCATGATTTGCTATATTTTACATGACCAAGAGATGCGTGCCATTCATGATTATTCGAGCAACACCATAATAATGGATCTTTATTAGTAGTATATTGAGTAGAAAGATACTGTCCACCCCGATTTCTAGCAATTGCGCAAGCATCTTCTAAGGTTAATCTTTTTTTTGACATTTCTGACAATAATTAAGGATATTTAAATGATAATTCAACATTACCTTTTCAACCAAAAAAAAAGCAGGATATATGCAAGAAGCAAGGTATATGTCTTATCGAAGTGCCTAATACATATGACCTTTTCCCTTACATTAAGCATACGCTAATTGAGAAAGGATTCTTGAATAATTCTTCAAGTTAAGCGAGCTGGCTCCACGATGACCTGTCTGAAAATTTCATAATATATTTTTAAAGTATGATATTAAGCAATATGAAAGATCATAAAAAACATCAAGTCAAAAAGCTTGATCAGGCAGATAGAATTGTTCTCCATATTGATGAGATTAAAGATGCAAAGAGGTTTAACGGATTGAATTCAACTCCCAATGGCCTTTCACCCTTCTGATCTTAGGACGGACCAATTCAGGAAAAACTAATGAAGTTGTGAACCTATTATTAGGGAATAAGCTTTATCAAATGTTTAAAGGTAAAAAAGGAGGGACACGGTATATTAAAAATGATGATCTTCTTTTGATTGGCCACCAACTTAATTTAAAGGAAAAAATATACTTAAGAAAACAAATGTCACCTAAATTATCTTTAAAAATTGCTTGTAATATTGCTATAGAGCGAGAAGGTCTGTGTCTTTCAGATAAGTATATTAATGATCATTCACCTTTATTATAGCGTTGTGCTATGGGTCATGAATGGTATTCTTCTTTTGCTAGCATAAAAAATAATGGCACTTGGTGCCCACAATGTCAATTCAATCGAAGGCTTACACTTGAGGATGCTAAACAAATTGCTATTAGTAGGGGTGGTGAATGTCTTTCTGAAAAATTTGATAATAGTAAATCAGTTTTATTATGGCATTGTGCAAAAGGTCATGAATGGCATGCCAGATTTTATAGTATTAAAAATCTTAATTCATGGTGCTCTTATTGTGCAGGACACAGGACTACTTTTGAAGACGTTAAGCAAATTGCTATCAATAAAGGCGGAGAGTGTCTTTCCCAAGAATATATTAATAGTTATACCCCTTTAATCTGGAAATGTAATAAAGGTCATGAATGGTCTGCAAAATTTCACGGAATTAAAAATCTTAATACATGGTGTCCAGAGTGCGCAGGCAATAAACGACTTACCCTTGAAGAAGCTAACCAAATTGCGTCTATAAAAAATGGTAGGTGTTTATCTGAAAAATATCTCAATGGTCGTCAGGGTTTATTATGGCAATGTTCTATAGGTCATAAATGGCTCGCAAGTCTTGATTGTGTAAAAAATAATAATGCATGGTGTCCTGAATGCAATCGTCATAGTATTGAGACAGCAAAGTCTCTGGCACGTACCAAAAATGGGGATTGCCTATCTTCAGATTATGTAAATAATAAAACACCTTTACAGTGGAAATGTGACAAGGGTCATATATGGACTACGAATTTAAATAAAATAAAAGACCATCACCAATGGTGTCCTACCTGTGGTGAACGAAATCGGACTATTTCTGATATGAAAATTCTAGCACAAAAAAATAATGGAGACTGTCTTTCAGAACGATATTACGATGTACATACAAAGCTTCTTTGGTGTTGCGAAAAATCTCATATATGGGAAGCCCCTCCAAAGACTATTTTAAGAGGAGGTTGGTGTTCACTGTGTTCATATTTTAAGCGTGAAAATTTATGCCGTGAGATCATATCAAAATATTTAGGACCACCCTCAAAAAATCGTAAACCCGATTTTCTAAAAACATTAGAACATCCGAGAGGATTGGAACTTGATATTCCTTATTACCACTATGGTTTTGCAATCGAAGTGCAAGGAGAACAACATGAAAAATATATAAAATTCTTTCATAGAGATGATCCTAATAATTTTATCAGACAGCAAGAACAGGATCAACTCAAGAAAGAATTATGTGAAGAAAATCAGATTGTCCTAAAGTATGTCTGGTATTACGAAGACCCATACATAGTTATTCCAAAGCATCTTCGAGAATTGGGTCTTATAGAATAAGATAAAACTTTAAATGTTTGTGTTTCACTAAAATTCTTATTTTTTCGATATAATAATTTAATGTTACTTAGTTTAATTAGAATGAAAGAGAAGAGCATGCCTATATACGTATACGCCATTGATGAGATACCCAAAGAATCTTTGAAGCATATGAAATCTAATGGATTTGCGCCGGATTGGCCTTTTCGTCTTCTAGTCTGTGGAGGGTCTCATAGCGGAAAAACGAATATGGTTGTAAATCTTATGCTCGGTAATAAACTTCAGCGCATGTTTAGAGGAAAAAAAGGGGAGCGGTATATTAGGAATGATAACCTTATATTGATAGGAAAGCATACTGAGCCGAAGTGGCAATTAGTAAAAACTAGCTTTCAGATTTTTGCGAATAGCCCAAAACCATATCAAGAGAATGTCACATTTAAAAGAATAACACCCGATAGGATTCCAGATATAACTAAATTCTCTCCAGGTCAAAGTACGGTTGTTGTATTCGAAGATCTTTGTGCTGAATCAAAAAAGACTCAGGAACGCATCATCCCTTATTTTATTAGTGGACAGCATCAAAATATCTCACCAGTATATGTGACCCAAAAATATCAAGCCGTGCCAAAGATAATTCGTGAAAATCTGAGCCATCTAGTTATGTTCCGAGGAAGTGGATCTCGAGAAGACATATGCAGAATTGTGCGTCAATATACGGATGATCCAAAAAAAGCATCCAAGATTATTGACAAACATTTGCGAGATCGGGATTTTGTGGTCTTCGATTTTACTAAGGCAGCTGATGATCCTCTCGCAATTAGATTAGGTTGGGATACGCCCTTAAAATTGGATGAATAAAGCCTTTTCATATTACCCATGTTACATAAAAAAAATGTGATTCGTTTCATATTTCAATCTGTGGGTTAGTACACATTTATGTCCGTGCAATAAAGTAAAGACAGAAATCAAAATATAAACATTTTTGTTTTCCGGATATACTAACAACATATTACATTTTACATATGGTTAAAGATTCCAAGTTCAACGTGAGCGAAACTTTATTTATTAAGAGAAATCAATATCATATGACTATTAGATGCAAATTCTATTTATTTACAACAAAGTACCGATTGTTACTACTTCTTTTGCTTTTTAGGGCGATTCGGTGTTGGTGTGTTTTGCTTTAAAATGTGAACCTTTCGCTTAGCCAGCAACTTATTTTTTTGCTCATCTTGCTCGATACATAATTTCTTCTTTTGAATATTTTTTTTCATAAAGAACTGAACATAGATAAGTATTAGTAAGAATGGTAATAAAGTAAAAATATGCTTTGTTATACTCACAAAAAATTTAAGGCATATTATAATCGCCTCAGATATAACAGAGAGGTCCTGCCAAATTATAGGAACCTTAAAACTTCCATATTCACGAATACAATATGCCCTTTGATGTATTGTACACCAATACAACGATACTTCAGTTTGATGACCAAAAGCACCAAAACTTGATAGTTCCTTGTGATCGTACATCCCACTTTTAAGGCGAAGGATTATGCGTTGGTTTAACACATCTCGCATAGTTCTAACCAACTTATAGTCATGGATGTGAAATTCCGTGATATCATCGAAGTCTGGAGGTCCCGTTTGCTCATATATGAATACTTCTTCGTGATCCTCCCAGAGACGAGCAATTCCATCTGCACGCTTTGAGGTCAATACTTTGTCGATAAATGGATTTATATTTGCATTACGACGAGACTTACTACTTTTAACCGGTACTTCGAGTCTATAATAGTGTAATGTTACAAAGATAATTAGTACCAACAAATTCATTCGAAGAGCTGATAATTTAAACTTACATTCTCCAATCAACGCTACAGACAACCTTGAGTGCATTTTTTAATATTGGGCTTATAAATTGCGCGTTAAATTGATTCTCTTCAAGATCCCCTGATTTCAGTACATTATATGGAGCTTCAAAAGCTTCAATACTAAAAAATGTAAATCACATATATTAACCTTTCACTTGCAATGGATAAAGAATCATAAAACAAAACATACTATGGTCCAAGTATATTATGAACCGCTTCTAACAAGTCTTCATCAATTTCATTTTCATTGATTTCGTTTTTGTAAAGTCCACGCCAAGCATCTTTCCAATCTTGTAAACTATCCTTCGGCTTTTTTGTCATTGATGGACAAATGAGTAATGGAGATAAACAACCGTAACATTTTTTTTAGACTCTCAGATTTTGTGACATACCTTGAAAAATTCTTGTATAAAATCTTTCCATCCTTTGGGTATATTATGCTCAGGATATGTATCTAGCACAAATTTACTCCAAGATTCTTCCGCAATTTCTCTCGTGAAGTGTGAACTAGGTCTCATATCCATGATATCGCTATTACATAAACTAGTAACAATTGATAATAATAAGACTACTATTGAGATTCACGTCAATTATAGAAACCGATTCTACTCACTCAAAGATGTTTTCGCATCTATCGCAATAATCTATGAAAATTTCTTCCAGGTCAATGTTGTCCACCATCAATGGTGTTCTTTCTACTTTCCCAACCATTGAGTCAGTCGCTTCTCTCAAATCATTTTCCGAATCTGAGTTAATTTAAATGATTGTGTCAGTAATATAATAAACCTGTAGACACCTTCAGTTACAACGTACGGTGGTTCTCTTCATTCATCTTGGCTGTTGTCGATTCTTCATCCTGTCGATAACTTGGTCTCACCTCTTTTGATGTTTCCCCATCAACCTGTAGATCATGGTCGCACCCCCTCAGATAACTCTTGTTGATAAAGTCCTTCTGAATTACATTCATCTGAATTGAGGCATTATTGGTTGCCTGAACTTGTTGTTCCGCCTAATTGAAATGAAAAATGTCGCATTTTCATCAAATGAAACACCGATCACCGTATCAAAAGCCCTAGTGTAAGTAATTAGACGAAAATACCTCAATTTGATCGACCTTCTTCACCATTAACTGTGTACTTGTTTCAAATTCGATCTTATCCCAAAATGATTTTACAATTTCCCATCGGGCTTGCTATACAAACTAAACATTGAAAATGTTGGAAGAAGAAATCATAGAAAGAAAATATTATAGGAAAAAAATATGGAAGAAGAAGCAGGTCATCAGGGGTTGTGAATGAACGAGTTGCTCTTGGCACTAAGACGTGTTGCCTTTGGCCTTCACACAAACTTAGGATGGAGCCCACCGGAGATAGTCCCCATAACTAACTTGACGAGTTGCCAAGTCGCTTAGGTGGTTGTTTCGGCATCACCCAACTCCTTCCCTATCCCCTCACCAACTTTTCTCCTACTGATTTTTTTTTTCAATACCGAACTTAAAACAACGGGTAAAGACATCACCTTAGATACATTTAAGTCAGAAGCTACCTCGCTCCACTTTCTTTCCTCTGTGTTTGCAACTTGTGAAACGAACTTTGAAATACGAGTATGCTCAACGGACTTGTTAAGCGAGAAGTCATCTTTTGTTCGACGGAATTTCAGAATGGAGATAAGGTTGAAATTCTCGGGCTCCAAGGCTGTTTTCCATCCCTCAAAACTCACAATGTTATCGAGATCGGTAGACGGGTAATTTCGAGAAAAAATTTTTTAGATGTGTTGTATATAAGGGATGTGAAAATATTTCGTCACACAGAGTCACAGATGATTTGCGTGTATCACTTATTACTTATTACATTATATATACTTTAACGAGGATCGAAAACGTGCTAATTTACGTCGCACATGCCTACATGCGTTGTGGCTGGATAATACCGTATATTATTTTATTAAGATAATATTCGGGATCTGGATCAAGGACTGATCTAAAATTTGGCGCACCATGATTGCTTCATTGAACGAACTTCCTCTTTTTCGAGAAAAAAATAATCTATCGTGACTTTTCTTAACAAATTTTCACAGTCGTTGGTAATAGGCTTCATCTTCTGATGCTCTTTTTTCTTAATATAATTTTCAACTGCTTTATTTAACAAATCTTCCACTTCAGGGTGAATACTACTTGCCTGTTCCAGCGATAATGGATATTTTCGAGATGTAAGGCGTCGCCATATATCTATTTTGATAGATCGAGGAAGTTGGTTAAGTTGCTTCAAGTAATATATGTGAAAAGATGGTGTTAGTATGCTAGTCATTGTTGCCATAGGTAACTAATAAAAAATTCTGAGAATTAAAGAATTCTGCGTATTCGGGAAAGGAAATTCAAAGAATAAATTCATGCATCAGTTTCGTGACATATCTGGTAGATCAGCTAGAAATATTAGCTCTGATCAAGAATTTCATGTGACATCCTGACCATTGGTTAACAAAAAAATCATGTGACTTTGATCGTTAACAATGTTAATGGGTTTTTGCCAAGAAAATTTTATTATCTGATATGTATACGGGTTACACATATGAATATATATTTGCGAAATCGACTATCAGGATCTCTTTATTGATAAAGAAAAAAATAAAAATACATGAAAAAATAATAATAAATTTACTATATATATAATCTTATCTATTCAGAATCTACATTTGAACTGCCTTCATTTCTTTTGGATCTAACTGAAGGTGCATTAAGTAGTAAAGTCATATTAACTATGAAAATATTCTATAAAATCAGTAAAGTCTTTATGAAATTTGTTACGAGGGATGAATCAGATGGTTATACATGAATTTCTGCTTCGTAAAGATGATAATAATGATGGATATTTTCTATATCTCTAATGAGAATATTTAAGCGCATTATTCGCCTAGTAACTTGCATTCCAATAATTCTGAATTCACTCTTATCTAACCCAATTGATTTATGAATCCAATACATCCCATCATTAGCCTCACGCCATAATTTTATTTCATCATCTATCTCCTTCTGTGATATGCAAGACAGGCGTGAACTTTCAACATATATGAGCTTGTATTTTTTTCTATCATGCTTTATCACAAATATGATATCTGGCTGTCTTCCTGTTCGCCTTTCACCTTTCCTATCTACACTAGTTGAACTTTGGCATTCAGCACTAATATAAGAAGAACATTAGTGACAGTCTGTCTAAGTTTTCAAAATATTACTTTTACTAATTATATTATAACTCACATGCTGACATAAGATGACCTCCCTAAAGGAAGACCTTTTAATGTGGCCCGAATAGCAGGTATAATTACGTTGGTTACATAAGTACCTTCATTTTGTGATTTCACAAACTCAGAACTAAATGCTGGATTATTCCATAAATTATTTAGAGAACCCAAAATTCTTGATGTGACCTCTGCAAACTCCTCATCTGATTCTTTCCACTCCCCATTATGCGAAAGTTTTTGTGGTAAAATGTTTATATTACTCCCAATAAAGCTAATCACGAATTCTTCGCATTTTTCCCGTATAATTTGTGGAAGTGATAAAAGAACCATATTATCTACTGGTTTCTAATAATAGCATAAATTAAATAATATCGAGATCGAAAAATATCAGCTGTTAGCTAGAAGGTTCTTTGAACCAAGCTTTTTGCATATGACTGTATAATAAAAAATAAGAATTTACCATAAAAGACTCCTGCAACCATTCTGGCAATTTTTCCACCAGATCTGAATCATCGCTAATTACTTGGTTGGCTAGAGGGTCCTTTCAGGTTAACTCAGAAACAAATACCTCATTTATACCTGAAAACAAATAGTGGTAAAGCTGTGACATATTTTTTTAAGTTTGTCCTTTAGCGCCTTGATATTTTTTCCAATTTTATCTGAACTAAGAGGCCTTTCTCCATTCGTCTTTACCGCACCAATGTTACGTAAACTACAAACTGTTTTAAAACTAATTTCAAACTAACACAAACATACAATTAATTAGTTCTGAATATATATATATAAAATTATCAAAAGCGCATGCGTTATCAGATTAAAATAAAGCCCTATTCTCATATGGTTAGCTACTCTAACACTCAAATAAAGACTTTATGCGATACTAAAATAACTACATTGAATGAAACATATACTATAGCCTAACTACCCTTCACACTGCCGAGGAAAAAATCCTGTAAGTGGGCTAATAAGATATTTAGTCTATCATATTCTCTTTCTCAGAATGGTATCAGTCTGCATTATTCATCACTCAAATAAATTCTCTTTTACTTTCTTTAGAAATATCTTATCTCTGGTAAAATTTCGAGAAGAGTAGTATGGTGTGAGGAACTCGATCATATTGATTCTTTACAAATGCAACAGTCCACTCAATAATACTTTTCAGCTCATTTTGAGATATCCAGGAATTGTCTTTGATTCCTTGATAGATAACAGACCCAGCGGTAATATTCTCTTCCTCAGCATTTAACAAGAAATTGTAAATTTTAGTGTATAAATCGGCAGGCATGGTAAAAATAAAA